TGGCTGATTGATGAAACTGATTCCCCGAAGAGGAAAGAGATGACGATGCGAGGATGCGGGAAAAAAAAACCATCGGATGGAGGCACCGAGACGTCTTTAGTAAAAAATTTTGCAAGTTCCAAAGATTTTTATCTCACTCGAGCGTTGGCTGTTACAGAAGAGTGCCCAACCCAGGAGAAAAATCGACTGGAGCGAGAAGAGCTGGAAAACCCCTCCCCGTGCGCCTAACAATGCCGAGGATGATTGTCGGCGTGATGGCGCAGCCGTTCAACAGATGTCGCCCTTCGCGTTTCCGGCGCTGTGGCCGACCGATGTCTTTTGTTTTTTTTCGTGGAGGGTGCTTTGTGGGCTGGTTTTCGCTCGGTTTAGATGTTTTTCGTTTTTAAGTTTAGGCCTACCGTGTGTGATTGGCTGCCGTATGCTCTATTTTCTCGTTGATAGGCCTACTGCCTTCGTTTCACTCTGTTCCAGACCATTCTGACATGCCAAAGACGTGAGCCCGTGGCCCTGCTGCGAGGCCTATATATATTTCCCTGGAACTGGGACATGCCTTCGTATTCCCCATTCTTTCACCGCTCCGCCTTTAGGGAGCATACGTGTTTTTTAAGTTTAGGCCAACGTATGCGCATATGTGCGAGACAAGACACTACTGTCAGCCTCCCATCAGCCATTCCCCTGGTTTACACTACTAGTGCTGTCATGGTCGCATTTTTGGGGGGCAGATGGGGTAGAGGTCAGCTTTACCCTTGAAAACTGCAAACAAACTAACTGCAAGGTGTCAAACTTAAGTTGAAGCATTTAGATTTTAGTTGGCTCTCATATGTGTGTGGTAGCCAGGCCACACAACAGTGACCTTTTTGCAATGACATTAAATCGTCAATCTGACATTTGACAGCAGCAGCAATCTGTTTTGAATGAAGGCAATTTTTCGTCTTCTTTGGCCAAGAAAGTAATCATTAACAATGGATAGGGTGGAGTTGCATAATTCCACATAGTCCACAGACTATGTCTAAGAGAGGGTGTGTTTTAAAAAAAGTTTTGCTTGATATACACCAGTGTGCATGACAGACATGAATGGTCTGAGCATGCACTTAAATTGAAGGTGTTACACCCGAATCAACCATATCCCATTCAGAGAAACCTTTTGTTGCGTTTTGTGCACTTGAGGATGTTAGTCATTAGCTAACATTCAGCTGCTCTGCACTGAGTGGTTTTTTGCATGTGTGAAACCATCCCACTCCTGAAATATTAAGTATTAGCATAATGCCTGCAAGTGATTTAATGATAATGGCAATATGGGAATGCTCATCTGAGGGAACAATTTATTCTATGTCAGATATCTCGAGTAAAATTCTTCTCATTGTAGTCCTCCATATAGACAAGAAGAAAAACATGTCAAATGGAAAATGCAGGTTTGAAATTTGCAGGAGTCTGAAAGCCCAAGATAAGAAGACACCATGTTGGATGCCTCTGTGCTACGAGGTCTTCAACCTTTTGGGCTCTTGTGAACTTTGAGTGAAGGAAATTGCTTCATGCTATGCTTGCCTCATCAAACCTCACTTCAATCATCGTGCAGTCTTTTGATTTGCCTTATGAGCATGTCCTAGATCAGTTTTTTTCCATTCATGATAGATGAATATGTTGGTATTGATGAAGAGAATTTGCAATTTACCTCTTCAAATTTTTTATTGCTTATTTCAGGGGAGGAGCAGCTCTCTCCTCATTCTGAAATTGCTCATGTGGATTTAAAGCTTCACAAAGTTTTTTTTCTTCAAAATTTGAAGATAGTGGTGTTTCATTTGCTGAACTTAGCTAACTTTGCTTTTCTGACTCTTCACTCCAGTATTCACACCATTATATCTAGGTTATATTATTTGTGGCTTTGCCCCTGGGCAATGACTTTCCCATTTAACAGTTTTGGAACTAGCCTTCACTGGGCCTAATGGACTTTCTCTTTGAGTTCCATATCTGTCTCATGTTGCATACTTGTAATAGAAATGGATTGTGTATTTAACTAAAAGTTAATTTTGCAGTTGAGCTATCCACATAATGGGTTCATTTTTTGAGCTTGCCACATGTAAGGGTACATTGTAATTGTTTCTTGTTTTATAAATGTTTGTTGATATGTTTTTTTATACCACTGACCTGGAATGAAATTAGTTATGAAACCAACATTCAAACCCTGTTGAAGATGAAAAGCATGTATTGGGTCCCTCTAGCCTTGTCAATTTTAGAAAGTGCAATACCAGTCGAGAGTTGTAACTTGGAGTGCTCTTTCTTTTGAGGATTCTCTTTAGGAAAATTGTTACTGATGAAGTTGGAAGACTATTTGACCCATCTTGTATGACAGGTGTTGCTTTATAATACCATGGAAAGTGAAAATCTTGATGTCAGTCATCCTGAGATATCCCAACAAAGAAGTTGTGGACTTCCAATCCAGACAGATGCAAATGCCCCTACTGATGAACACAGGATATCAAATAGTTCTGATGCTCCAGCCCAAAGCAAGAACAAGAAAAGAAGGGGGAGAAGAAATAAGCAAGAACAGGTGAGCATGCTGCAAAATCCAATGGTTTGGACTTCTTCCACTATCCCGCTTCACACTCCTGTATGGGACATTAGGAAATCTGGGAACAAATTGTATTGTTCTTTAGATCCATTTGTGCAGACATAGATCTAATATATTGCATTTCCTTTCAGGCTCAGGTTGAGGATGATGCAAGTGACGATGAGTGCGTGAGCCATCATCGTCTTGGGAGCATAGCAAGTATCTTGCCCATGCTAAAGGAAATAGCAGAAAAGACTGTTGAAGAAGAGGAAAAGGATTGGGTGAGTTGTGGTGTTGGAGGAGGAGCAGAAGTCCTGCAGTTCTCTTTGCAATGACCTTGCATCTGTGAAGTGTGGAATCCCTTGTATTCTTTGCTCCAAACTCAGCCATAGAATTGATGAATCTACAGTTTAAGTACAAGTTAAATGTGATTGTATGTAATAGATGGTTGAATGGGCCCTCCATATTCAGTAATTCCTATTAATTCAGAAATGTGCAGTTTAAAGCTATCCTACAGATGAATCCTTGGAGATGAAAGAGCTGCAAGCAGAGGTGAGATATGATTTCCAGGCTCATCTTTTGTTGCCTGAATTCCCACAGAGAACAGTTCCCCTGTGCTGGCCTGATAAGGGTTAGTTTCAAGCATGCCTCCAAGAGATATCCCTTGGTACCTACTCTAACATAAGCTGTAAGATGCCTGTACCTGTGCATGATGTAGGTACTAATGCTGGTACTGAGATCTCAGCATTAGAAAGGAGGAGGTGCAAAGTGACACTGTAGACTCAGTGTTATCAGTGGTTCATCTGTCCAAGTACATTAAATATAGTTTCTGATGAGGAGAGGAATTTATAGTTTTCCATGTTCAGGGATGATCTGAATTGTGGAAATGGCATAGTGCTATATCTTTTTATATATGTTTGCTATATGTATTTGATGCTATATCTTGTGAAGCCTATATTTAACTAAAAAAAAGTTAGGGATATTATAAAATCTCTATGATCTGAGTTAAGTAAAGACCAAACATTGTTTGAGAATGATCCATTTGTGCCTTTATTTGCCAAAATGAAAAATTGCCTTGAATACAGTTATTTATTCACTTTTCAGGATACAGGTTTTCAGTAGAACTTCCCTCCTATTGTAGGAGGGAGGTTCTCCTCCCCAACACCAATATTCCTCATTTTTTTTCTAAGACTTTAATTATGTTCCATCATTTGCAGGTGCTTACAGTTCACAATTTCATGATTAGAATACATTGACTTGGTCACATTTTTTTTCTGAATGGCTGACTATCTTACAGTGAACCTTGATGAAACAAGTTTTTTATTGGCCCATATAAGGTTTGGATTTCTTGCAGTGAACCTTTTTGAAGTGAGACCTGAAATGCCTCACTACATATTTGTATTGGCATTGTATGTATATTTTCCCCCTATACAAAAAAATTATTTATCCATTATTGCATGAACTATCTATGGCATTTTATAATTGAATTAACTATGATTATTATTGTTTTGGTGATGGGATTTCTGGCATAACAAGGGTAGGTCTTTGGGCCATCTACAGTTTGCTACTTTCAATGCTCACTTTTGTTCTGTGCATTCCCCATTTTTCATGAAGGGAACAAAGCTCCAGCGCCCAGAGCTGAATGAAGCCATTACTCTCAAATCTGGGGACACCATCAAGAGTTACCGTGTTTTCAGGGAAGAAGATGGCTTCCTTTCTATTTACTGTGCCCTCTGTCAGAGAGATATCCACGGACTGGGAGAGTTTGACCTGCACAAGACCAGTCATAATCACAGGAAGAAGAAAATGCTGGCAAACAGGGACTCTGCTGCCTTTCATCTGTATGGTAAACAGCGATTATAATGAATGTACATGGTCTTCCAAATTCACATTCACTGTTCAGGCAGTTGTGGTATTTTCACAGAGTGATACAAGATAGGTTTTCTTGGAAAATTGTGTGATGAAATTTGACTGCAAAAGTTAACAAAAGGAGATAGTCTCTAGGTGTGGTAAAACACCCTCTACACTGCTACACTTACCATTTCTTCAGGAATGAGATGAATCTGCCATCATATATAATCTTTTTCTGTTCTGTGAGTTTGCAGTGTTTGTTCATAGTGGTGTTTTCTCCACAATGATAGCATGTGGTTCAGTGGTGATACCCTCGTAGTATTTTATTTGTTTATGCCTATCTGCTTTCATGGGGTCAAATTTCTCTTATTCCTGATTTTCTATGTCCTACATCACTGTATACTTCACTGCTGCATTAGTAATAGTAAGAGTAACTTCTGGAAAACCCTGTGCAGTGTATATATGGATGGTGCTAATTCTGCCAGGGCCCATGAGAGCAGGATAGCTATGTGATATGACACGACTTTGAATATGTCAAGTGCATAGCACAAAAAATCCCCCCCCCCCCACGTGGCTTGGTAACAATTGATGATGGGGAGAAAGGAAGCACCAATTTGAGTCAAAAGTCGGAGAGTCCAAATTTTGATTACCATTGGTTAGGGGTTAAATGGGCAAATTACTGACCTTTTCTAAGTGATTATTGGAAAATTGGTTTCCATCAACTGCTATGATGAATCTGCCTCCCCATTATTATGGCATGAAAAAGGTAGGTGTCAGAAATAGAAGTTCTTCAGACTGTGTGGAAGTCTAAAGAAAAATAAAGGACCACATGCTCTCTCTCTCTCTCTCTCTCATTTTCCTTGATCTCTCCTTCTTTTCCTGTTTTTCTTATTTCATTCAAGTTAGTAAGACTGCCCACACTACTAAAAAGAGGAAGAAATGGATGAAAGACCCATTATGAAGTGATGGGAAGAAGACAAGGGGATACAGTCATCTGAGGGGATTGAGGTAGAAGTAGGATGAGAGGAGATTTCAATCTACAGAATGCTTTTTTTTATTAGGAGGAATCAAGAAGTTTTGTAAGAAGACTCTTTTGATAATTTATGCTGATGTGACTTTGGCAATGAGGCAGGTATTTATTTGCTTAAACTACAAAAAACACTCCCCTCTTTAGCTATTGACAGATTAATCAACAAGCTCCCCTGCTCTGAAGACCTTCATACTAGAGCTAATCAGAAAAGTTGAATCACTAACCTGTGTTTAGTACTTTGCCACTATGAAGAAAACATTTTTGCACGTTTGATTGTACAGTGTACAAACAGGAAGAAAGACTGGACCAAGATCAATGATTCTTTCTCTCTTTAGTGAACAGCCAATTCGCTGATGAGATGGATAACTCAGAGTGGAATGAAGATGAGACTGAAGAATATGAAGAGTTCTCTCTGCCTCCCCCTCTCCAGCCTTTCTGTGAGAACACTCCAGCCATCATACAGCCTTTCCTGGAAGCCTTCAGCTATAAGCCTCTTGTTGGTATGTTGATGTTTCAGAAAGACTTAACCAGCCTATTAAAGCATGACATAAAAAAGTGATAAATAAGCTGCATGATCTATTTAGATTTAGTCAAAAGATCAAGTTACTAGTAACTTTCATTTTCATAAATTTTGAGTCAATATCATAATATATATTCATGTTGGCATGGAGCGCACTGCTGATGGGCATGTTGTGTTACAGATCTTAATGGGATGTCAGTCTTATGTCCATCTTTGTTTCAGAACTTGGAGACCTGAGATTATGGTGTGACCTTTTTTTTAATCTTCATCTTCCATGCATCAATAACTTTCCCTTCCAACTTGGACTGAAAACTACTAATTTTTTGATAGTGTTTCACCTGTGTTTGTTCATCTCAAGTGTTGGGATTGATTGGCATAGGTGTCTCATCTGTAGTGAGGTCAAAGTGTTCCCCTTTACTCCAGATGTAATACTATCTTTATAATAATAAAAATGACCTGTATGGATAGCACATGCTGTCCATCTGGGCAAAAACTAAGTTTTGAGAGGCAAGTTAATGGGACTAGAGGTGCCTTGCACACAATTTTTGATGGAAGTGTTTTTATTACTTTTTCAGTACTGTTTCTCACATAGGTTTCAGTGATGATCAATTCAAAGTGGAATTGATGCCTCAGGATCTCCACCTCCTGACTGGGAGGCTTTCAATTTTTTGTTCTGTTATGGGCAGTAGTCCCATTTTCAGATTTGAAGTACTGATGTTATTACAGCAAGAAAATTTGTACACTGATAAAAATTAGTGAATGGGGTATAGATGCTTTTTGCCTTTTCCATGAGAACAGTTTTGCTGGAGTAGGGTAAAACTTGATTATAAATCATGATTATTAATCAGGTGATTTATACTGTTTTAATGCCTTCTAATGGCTGCACAACCTTCTTCATTTCTTATGTAATGTTTGTGAACAACCTTGAAATGAAATCTTTTCATTGGTAGGCCAAAGGAATTGTAAGTTGCAAAGAGCTTACTGAGTTTTTAAGAACTTTGCTCCATCCACATCTGACTAAGTGCATGAATTGTTTTGCTTATGCTACTCCCCGTACTCCTTATAGGACTTGACTATGTGCTGGAGATGATCAGTGACAGTGGGGAACTCTTGTACAACTGCCTCCTCTGCACCAGATGTGCAAGCCGAAACATCTTGACTTCTCACTTGATGGGAAGCCAGCACCGTTTAAGCTATATGGTCTTTTACCTTACCTGAAGCCAGAATGTAACCCTTTCTGTATTTTTATACAATGAGATATTCCTTCTTTGTTCAGAAAAAGTGCTTCCCATCCCTCATTGATAAATTCAAGAAGAAGCCAAACACTTGGAGTGAGGGAATGCACAGTGCCTTGGAGGAAGTATGTGCCCGAGCTGAAAAGTACTATGGCAGGACGCCAGTCTACCAAATCCAGTCCAGAATGCTTCAGGAGAACTTCACACAGATCAAAATGGCTATTGAGGATGTCCCTCACTACAAGTAAGTGCTTCATCATTTTCCAATCCTTAACTGCATTGGCATTTTTGCTCGTGTTCCAATTCTAAGTCATGTTGGCACGGTCACTGTCTTGGTAAGAAAAGAATTAGTTGGTACTGGATGACTTCAGAATTTCCTGAATGTTTCTATATGACCTGGGCTAATACAAAAATCGATTGAAATTTTCTGCAGTATTCTCAAATGTTGAAGAGGTCAGCTCAAGAGTTGACCTCTTCAATGTTTGAGCCTTTTCCCTCATGCTTCCTTATAGGGAAACACATAAATTCAACTTCCAAGATTTCAATCCTGAGAAGTGGGCAGCTGAAGTGGAGGCACATGCAGAAATGGCAAAGACGAGTGGCATTGGGAGAGGGAAGAAACAAAACCCATCCCAGGACCATCCTCCAGAGGCCATTGGCTTTTGTGGGTGAAGTAATAAGTCTCTTAAGGAATTTCAAGTGTTCCTATGGTTTTCAAATATTTTGGCCATCTGCAAATTTTGGGACCTGTGCAAAAATTTGGGATCATTGTTTTGCATGAAGAGGAGGAAGTCCAGAAATTCTCTCCTTGTCAGTAGGTGTCCATGCATGTCATTCCTCTTTTCCTAATTTGGCTCCCACTTTTAGTTACAGATGTTGAGGGGCAGGTATTCCTGGAGATTTTACAATGCTAATTTATTTTTTTTCCAGGTTGCAAGTAATCAATGTCAAGGATTTGGCAGATGCTGGGATTGGATGGCCTTAAGGGAGTCTTTTCTTTGGATCAACATTTGAAGATAATTGACAAATGACCCAGTGCAAACTAGCCTTCTTGAGCTGTAATGAGTGTGAAAACTATTTGCTGCATGAAGAAAATTCCCATTATATTACATTTGTGTTTCTCATTGACCTCATGCTTCATTGGTAGTGATCTCTGCATGACTTAGAGCTTCATTGTAAACATGGCTTCAAAATGTCTACACAGGGAAACTATTGGCTTTCTATACAAAATGCTACCATTATTTAGAAATGGTATGTATATTGTTTTGAAAAAAAAGTTTTCAATTCCTGTAAAGGTCTACTGGAAATGCATTTAAGGTGCTGAGTATTCACATTGAATTGGATTATGTTAAAATTCTATTGATGGTTTTAAAAGAGAATTTTGTCTGTATATTGAGTTAATTTAAAAATAAGTCCTCCTCCACTAATTACTCAGTTGATATTAACCATATTGCAAAGTGCTTTGAGAATCCAATGTAGGCAAAATGTTACCCATGTCTACTCATTCCCATTGAGTATATAGGGTACTCAAGTGGACTTACACATTCTACATGAAAATTCGTCAAACAGGCTTGGGAAGAGTGGTGCATATCTTCCAATGCAAGTCAACAACTGGAGCTGTTGTGACCCTGTCACTACTTACAGGGGAAAAAAGTGATTTCTTGAAGCAAAATGGAAGCATTGAGAGTGAGAAAATAAATATTACCAATGATAAAGTTACAGAAAAGTATCATTGAAGCATTGCACTAAGACCAAAGACCTAGTAAATTAAGTAAATACTACTAGTGTCACCAATTAAATGCAACTTAATATGTAATTACTAATTTTCAATAGCATGGTCAGCACAATACAATTTTCCATTCTACAAATTTCTTTAATTTTACAGATTTCAATGCAACATTTTTACATGACAGTTCCAAAGTTCCTGATGTAACACCAGACTAAAAATGTAATCACGTAGTGGTATACCATCTTGTGTCAGCAGTGCTGCACCTATTCTGGTCACAATATTCTCATTTCTCCCATGGATTCATGTTATGTTACTAATGTAACACAGTTCACACAACGGTTTTCCTACCACTGCTTCCCTTCCAATTCCGTCTTGTTTGGCTTGACCTGAAACTTCCATTTTCTCAGAAAGGAAAGCATAGACCATCACCTTTCTTCATGCCAAATGACATTTGTTGCTGTTCGAAATTGAATTGGCTGAAGAGTTTTCTATCGTTACTAACGTAACAAATTTGCCAAAAAAGAAGCAAGATTCGCCATGCAACTGTTAAATTCATCAAAATGGAACTGTGCAGGAGTAATGAAGAGCCGTCCAACATCAGATGACGCATGCAGTGCAGGGAAAGTGAGTTGCATGTCATTTTCTAATAACTCAATTTTTCACTTTTTTGCCAATTGCTCTGGAACTGTCCTGAGCCAACTTTTATTATGAAATTTTTTCATCGTGGCATTCCATGAGTTCCTACTGCCTACTGAATGAAGTCATTGACCTATCCCTACTCGTGTTGGCGTGGACTCGGTCTAGCCTGTGATGTCTGTTTTTGCAGTACTTTCAACTGAGTAAGAAAGGTACTGAAAGTACTTTTCATTGAAAATGTATGAGATCTGTGTAAAAACAATTGGAATTTTTTAAATATGGTCTCCGTTTTGGTGGCCACGAGAACCAGGACTGGCCTTCGACACGTGCCACATGAGCACAGGGCGCAAAATCCACCAGAGACCTCTCAACGTGACCGAACGTATGACGCAATAATTCCTGTCACCCTCAGTTTTACTTCAGAAAACGGAAATGCCTTCCGTTTCAGTGTCATTTCGGACGCTAGGGATTGACCCTTCCCCTTTCGTTGGGGGGGGGGGGGGGGGGGGGGGGGGGGCGAANCCTTTCGTTGGGGGGGGGGGGGGGGGGGGGGGGGGGGGGGGGCCGAAATAGCTAGGGCTACCCCTGACGAGTACTGAGATATTCCTGGCTGTACAAAACTCTACTTTCAATAAACGACGGAATTAATTCATTCTTCAATTAACTTCGGACAAGGGTATGTATGTTCAAACAAGTGTCTCATTTTCCAAAGTATGCAAAAAAAATTTGCAAACTCCATAATCTCTTCGGACCGTACAGGCGGAATCCCGCCCTTCGCAGACCCTGGTCTGAAGAAGCTGAGCGGGACTGCGCTCAACCGATTAAGTACTGCCGGGTTTCACTTCCGAGCAGGTAGTAAAAGAAATGGCTTATTTCCACTCTTGCTTTCATCCCACAATCTCGCAAGTCATTGAGTGATTCTCATAATATTTTTCCATTTATTGGGGCTCCCTTTATAAATTACAATAATTTTCAAAGAGAGGTGCTAATACTCAATGCCGAATACTCGTGACGTATTTCAGTGAGGCTCGTAGTCGATTCTTCCTCTGGGGGAAAAAAAAAAAATAAAACGGAATCTCCCAGGGCTAGGATCTAGAAAAAAAAAAATTTAGATTTCAAAGTCTTTCAATAAAATGATGTTCCGACGCGAAATTTGCGGGAAGGAAAAAGTTCCTGGCCCGTATGGGGATCGAACCCACGACTTCTGCATTATTAGCACGGCGCTCTAACCAACTGAGCTAACGGGCCTCACACAATGTAACGATCGCAGGTTATCCTAACTGAGGTTGCGTCGAACCCACCATTCCTCGCAGAGAAGTTTGAACCATGCCAAGTTTCGACCTATGTCGCGCGTCTGCGCACGGAATGTGTACTTTTCTACCGAGTTTGAAACAGGTAAGAAACCTGTGTTCTTGGCCGTACGAGGCGCAACGCTGTTCCTTGCTGCCGTCGCGCTCTCAAACACTGAATGGATATTGCTATGACTTCAAACGCACGTGCTCATTTCATGTACCGGTATTAGTCAGACCTCAAAACCGCGCAGCGATACTATTTGTGATATGTGTGATACTATTTGCGATGGTCTGAACAGACCACAAGTAACTAAAAGTCGAAAAATGCAAATTATTTTAATAATTAGGAGCGTATAAATTCACCGACCCTTGGAAGATACCAATCCGAAGCAGAAAGAATAGAGCCGTTCCGAAACGAAATTCTCGCTTTTCGTCGGGAAACACTGCTAATTTTCGCAGCAATTAGCAGCACGCTAAAATATGGAATGGCAAAGACGTCCGAGAGAGGTTGGATGCCGAAGGTGGTTGGATACCGAAGGCGGTTGGATGCCGAAGGTGGTTGGATACCGAAGGCGGTTGGTCTCCCCGTTCTCATGCGTCTTCCTTCCGCCCTCCCCTTTAACCGTAGAAAATGGAACAAGAGGCGGCACTCGCTCGAATCCCATTCGTCGACGGGGTTTCAGTGTCGATGTCGATGGTCCACCTCCGCGTCGAGAAGGCCTCAGGGGCCAAGCGGGGGACGAGAGGAGACGCGCGTGTTACGTTGAGGGTCTCGCGGAAACCCGGGAATCGATCTTACAAATCTTCAAGACTCACTTTCGAATCAAAGAATTCAACGACGATGAAATGCGGCGAGGAATTCCCCGGGAAAGAAAAAAGGCCAACCACCTGGCCCGTATGGGGATGGAACCCACGACATCCGCGTTATTAGCACGGCGCTCTAACTAACTGAGCTAACGGGCCTTTCGCGCTCTCGATCTCATACCTGAAGCATCCCCATGGAAGATTGGAGAATCTTAGCCGAAGGACAATTTTAACTTGAGCAGTTCGTCGCATTCTTGATTTTTTTCCACTGGATCACTGGCTCCGTAATTTTGAAACGAGCCTTGAATTTTGAATGAACTTGGAGGAATTCCAAGTTGATCGCGGCCGTTCTACGACTTTTCTGCTTCCCTTCGCGCTTTTACGGGGTCTTCAGAAAAGGACGCTCTTTTTTGCCGACTTGATATTTTCCTGAGGATTTGACGCACGAAGTTGTGCAACACGTCATTGTTCGCTCGGAAATAGGGACGAGATTTCCGCCTTCAGTTCCGCAATCTCGTGGGGGGCGTTTCCTTGAGGAATCCCCATAGGGAATCGCGAGGATCGAGGCGAGGAGACTATGGTGGCCGAGAGCACCCAAAAACGACCAGGAAGTCGATCGAGATTACGCGGCCGTTGAAGAACTAGTGATTTTTTTTCTTCAAAGTCTTGTTATTGCAGATCTGCCTGGGGGCTCCTAATTAAGCTTCTTAATTAAGGCACTTGCTCCTAATTAAGCTCTGTAATCACGTTGCGCTCGTGAAGCGCTGTTTCAATGTAACGCTTATTAATACACGCCGACCTGTAGATTACCCCATCTTAAAAAATGTCGACACTAGTTCTGGGAAGAAAAACTCCGGATTCGCAACTATACCATGGTATAAACTTGATAAAATTGATAACTTTTAACTCCAACCCCTTCTCGTATATGAACCAAACAGAACAGAGCTTCCTTTTTTGAAGTTCCTGTAAACCTATGATTGAGTGAAGAATTGTATTGAATTGTATTGAATTTCTTAGTTCTTCGCTGACAAGGAATCAATCGGGCTCACAATTTCCGGTTAGAGGGTATTCCAAGCATACCATCAGGTTAACCGACGGTTAATCGAAGGGAAAACTCCCACTGAATTCGAAAATTCCGAGACAACAAGGAAGGAAATCGCCCCTTCCCCTCGCAT